GATGATGATGATGCAATCCCTCTCCCAGCCACTTGGTACTGTGTCTTGACCACATCGATTGGGGAAGTCGTGGTACCTGTAATGAGACATTAAGTGGAAACGGAAAGAAAGTCATCAACTCACAGGCAACAACTCCCGCGATGAATCCCGAGAGAGCGAGCCATGCAGCTGAGACGCTTCCATCCCTCGCGAGCTCATCACGGCCAAAATTGAACGGCTTGAGTCGCTCGTAGGTCATGAACCATATAGCAGACAGTGGCGTCCACGTCAAGCTGCCAATCACCACGCTGAACGACAGAAATGAGAGAACATGAGCCAGGAAGGAAGAGACGTACCCGCGATAGAAGCCTCGAATGCCGTACTCACGATAGATGTCAATTACGATATGGCGAGGGCTAACTGCTGTCTTCACTTGTACTTGCCTGAGAAACGGCATCTTGCCAGTTCCCACGCAACAGCTACTGAGCAGAGGATCATCTATGAACCTATAATGTTCCCGGGAGGAACTCGTTTTGAATTTCCCACAAGGCTAGGAACACACTATTCAATCAGTTTCCCATGTAAATGTCATCACATTATGAACATTTTCCCATTGTTATCAAACCCTTGGGGACGTTATTTCTCAGAGCTGGATGTGTTCTTGCTACTGAGAGCTTACGTTTGTGATTTGATGACTTCCTGAGGTGTCCATATCACCATGCCAAACACATTGGCGATTGCGCCCGATGCTAGGTGTATGGCGTCAGAGGACCAACCCTACAACAGCCGCAGGTTTCAGACCAGCTGGGTGACTGCGATCAAACTCACTGTGGCTGGTCGCAACTTGGACTTGGAGAGCTCATATGCGGAGTAGTAAATCCCAAAGGCTGGGCAACTCGTGAGCATCACAACCGATAAGCCCTTATAGAAACCCCGAGCCCCCTAACATGAGATCAAAATCGGCACCTAGTGTCGAGGGAGTTATAACTCACAAACTCCCGGTATGAGCACAACTATCATTCTGTGGACTCAACTCTGTTTGACCTTTTACTCCCTTTTTCCGGTGTGGCATAATTTGCACATTGTCAACAACATGTGTTGGTATACACTTATCGTATATATTTTCCCAATTCGTATATAAACTCCTATGACTAGTGAGAAAATATTGAGCTCAGCTGACGGAAGCGAACATGTTTTGCAGCACTCAAGTATTCACCCTGAGACACCAGTATCGTATCTTACCTCGTGTTTGAGGATGGCCACAGCTTCGCTTATGAGTGAGTAACGTTGCGGCATTGACAGTGCAGGTCTGTCCGGCCGAGCGAAACTCTCTGTTGCTACGGCGGACGACGCAGGCCGATGTCTCGCCTGACAGCACACTTTGAATGAACGATGAACAGATATCTTTTCACCTGTTGCCGAACTCGTATGGTGTCCATTGGGAAAACAGTAGCATCGCATACCAGACCAGCAGTGGCTCCAGCGATAAAAGAGGACGCAGAAGTGAGTTTCGTAGTAGGTAGTGTCGAATCGTCTCCCATCTGGACCGCCATAGAGCCACCCAACAGAAGAAGCTAATTGGTGACACCATCACTGTGGTCGTGGTGACACGATTACTATCATTCCGGAATCTAGTTAAGGAGTGCTGCTGCTAACGCCCGCGGAGGACTACAATCCCCATACGCGGGTAAGGACGTCAATTCGGCAAGAGGCTCCAACATAGACTTCGGTTCAGTGCTAGTGTGCCTCAGGAAAGGACTCTAGTCTCGTGAATAGGTGCCTCAATTTCATGATATATGGTCACAAGTTCCGAGTGACCATGCTGAACATCGCCCCTGTTTTCCGTGCATATGACGATTCCACGTGTTCTAGGAGGAAGCATCACGAGTGGCATGCACATGATGCCCTGAGACAGTGTTGGAGGAATATATGTTCGCTTTCCTCAGCTGAACTTGGGAGTTTCCTCACTAATAATAAAAGGTTAAACACGAATTAGGATAGAACTGTACAGAAACCAACGAGAATTTCCGCAAAATTTCCGTAGTGTCGCCGACCCATGTGTATATTTTCCCACACTCCTTTGAGATGTTCCCGTTCATGGTCGCAGTTATCTCACCGATTGTAAGTTGTAACGTGCTGATATTGTCAGTGGCCATATCGGCGCACTTGTTCTCCGTTATCATGAAATTGAAGTCCTCATCGGTAGGGTTCTGCGCTCATTATACGCTCCGTGTTTGTCAATATGATGACACTACATAAACCTAATAATGTCCCTGCTCACACAGCTACCCTAGCGCATCACTACCGGTAGCTCAGATCAGTGAAGAGGCTATAAGGGATATGTCTCAGTTGATTCATGAATATAAAGAAGTACGTTCCTCATCATACTATCATGAGACACTCACTTCAATGGAAATTCTAAAAACGTGCATCAAACCATGTCGACGACGACGTAGCACTCCAGAAAACTAAAACAGATATGATACCAAGTCGGATCGTTGAGGAGAGAGGAGGCACTCAAACTCAACACGCATTCACCGATGAGCATCAATTAGGGAATTCACATTATTTCTCACTAGCATACGGCAAGGACAGCAGCCACAGAGTACCGAGACGTCCATCAATGCAGATAATAGCGACAGAATGCTCATACGAGACTTGAGGTGCCGAGTAAGCGACATCAAGACACTTGAATGCTGCAACATGTTACACATTTATAACGTATTCGCGGACTCCGGTCGAGTCGTTGTCGCAAACCTCTATCACCTTGGGCAACGTCATCTGCTTATCGTTCTCAAACCACACGTCCCACTCCTTGATTGAGAGCGGCACTAGAGGGGCGATCTTCGTAACGTCAATGCCGCCGGTGCTTCTAACACTGCTCTTGCTCATCCGCCTCGGAGTTGTGCTCTTCTTGGGCTTCACATGGTCTGGCCTACCTCCGTGCCCCTGACACAATCCATGTCGCCTCGCCGTCTTATTGCAACCCTCTACCTGAACGCTACGTTACTACGGTGGGTTAATCTCCCTTTACTTACCGAGCACCTGCGACCGCCACCATGCCTTATGCAAAGGCCACCTGATCGAGCGTGCCGAGTACAGCTAGAAACGCTGCAGTAGATGATCGGCATTCACGAACCCTTCCCAAGAATAGTCCCCTGTGAGGAATTGGAATTTGACTAACCCAAACCGTTAGTTCACTGCGAGACTCCAACGTACGGTACTCTAGCTGCATGCTAAGGCCGCCGACACTATGAATGCCCCTCGAATGAGAATAGTAGAGTTACCCAATAGCGCGATAATCCGTATAGGAGGCACAGTTGATGGTAGCAAGACCATGAGAAATTAGGGTTCATCCGAGGACCGATGATGATGACGATGATTATGGTGATGATGATGATTTGAGTGTCGCTTTATCATAGCAGCGATTCCACATAGAACAGCACTCTTCTCAGTAGATCTTCCTTCCTCTGGTTCACTCGTCCACTCGGGTAAGGCAGCAGAGCCGTCATAATCCATTATACTCCTGTCGACGAACTTGGGCTCACCAGTGATAGACTATTTAACTGAAAATTTGAACGCTGTACCCGAGATGGGTTCTGCGCTGGTCTGTTCAAACAGCTCGCGAGTTAGATGGCCGCCCTGACCAGATTCTCTCAGTGCAACCCGAAAGGAATGGTTTCAGGACGACAGATGAACTGAGTGATCTCTCCGAACACCATAGGAGCCCACATTTTATGCTACTCCGACAACTACAAATTACTGGCAAATGCTCAGCAAGGCTATCTGAAGGTATCTATAAGCCTCACTTAGTTGAAGGAGCTGCATATTTACCACCACCCGAGGCAGAAGGCTAGACCGAACCACCAATTTGGAAGCCACAGGCCGTGACCCTGGGACCGAAGACGGTCCCAATAAAGATCGAGGACCGACAGGGCCGCAAAACTGTGGTGAAGTCGATGAGCCTGTACTGCGAGATGACCATCGCGAGTCTTAGAGCTAAACGCTGACTCGCACATCATCTCCACCGTGGCGTGGGAGGGTAGGCTGAAAATATAGTTTAGTCGAGGCGACGTTGCTCACGAAGACGACTCAAGGAAACACAAGTGAGAGCGATCAGCCGTCACAGCAGCAACACACAGAATACAGATGCCGGCCGGTCCGTGACTCCATCATAACTGTAAGCAAGAATTTTTCACAATGCGCTAAGAGAAACCGTCATTGTGTCACCCGCAACTAACCTTGTCTATTGCGTGAGCATCAGTTAGGTCTCAGCTTTGCGAATACCTCCTCGAGTGTGAAGGTCTGCTAATTTCGAATGCTGTAAGGAAAAGTAGGGATGCAACAACATGTCGAGAAAATCAAATATATCTTGCAAATCTCGTGTTTCCTCAATGATGGAAAATAGGCGGTTACTGCGCGCGCCTCAAAATTCTCATCGCGCCACCCTTGCCTGGACCACAGGCGAGAATCTAAAGTTGCGAATTCCCCCAGAAGAGGAAGGGTAGGTGAAAGCGGAGAAAGG